ACTCTTCCGATTACTGAGTTGGAATGAAATTTCGGTAAAAAATACTTATGAAAATTTCAATATTTACTTGAAATCTCTATCTCGATGTTAAATTCCATTAAAATAATAATTAATTAATAATTCATTAAATAATTCTTATATGTTAATAGTAACTTGAGTTGTTGCGAATGATTGGGCGCACCCACTCTTCAGTTCCCGTTTAGGCAGCTGCTTGTCCATGCTTCACAGTCTCTCCTTCATCTCATCCTACTTCTCTTCCTTTTGGGTGAGTAGTAAAAAACTACTTTTGGAGTCTTGCATACCTACAAAATTTTCAATATAGTGTAACGATTTGCTTTATTGTCGCTTGGCATCCTAATGTTTATTAGTTCTACTTTTAACTCTTTTGTTTTCGTTTCTAACCTTTCCTCTCTTGAACACACCTTTACGTTTGACGCAAAAATTTGCATTTTCTTTACTTGCGTGTTATTCTTTCCAACGTTCTCTTTGTAGATATCCAGCTTTTGGCAGCCAAAGAGAAGCATGGAAAATTGCCATAAGTCCTTGAATATTTATTCGAGATTCTTGTCTCCGCTTTAATTTAGGTTGTTGGGAATGGTCAACGTAATTGTTTAGTAACATCCGAATTTTTCTGTGCTCTATCTTTCTGGTTATTATTATATACCCTAAGTAAATCAAGGAGATGAGGCTTTATGCGTGCACAGGCTATAACTTTCTTTTAGACTCATTGGAACCTGACTGGTCATCTTCCACCAAAGTCAGCAAATCATTGTGTTTCTTTTTTGATTCGTAAATATATGTTTTAACAGATCTGAATGGAGGTGGTGTACAGAGCGTTGTAAATCATCGTTTGTGTCATTATAAATCATCTACACATAACAAAGTATTTAAAGATGATGTCTTCGGTTAATTGTATGCCTGAATTATTATTTTTGTTCCCAATTTTTTTTGAAGCGACATTTGATGACATCTAACTCCTTTATTCTTTATGTCTTCCGGGCTGCATGGGGCCGTGGTCCAATTGGCATCCCAGAGCGCAATTGGACCGCGGCCCATCAGCCCGGAAGACATAAGAATATTGACTCCGGCCCGTGAAAGCCTACAATGCTGTCTAACTCCTTTGTTTATTAATATATCTTTTGATTCTTGTGATCCATAATTTATTACAGTTTTTGTTTCTGCACATTTAAAATCTCCCCAAGGTTTTCTCACATGTCCTAGGGTAGCCTTGGTTTGCTAATATTGTATAGTTTTCTATAAGTTTCTCGTTGTACATCATCAAATGCTTTTTTCCGAAGACTATAAAAACAAATGTGAGTGTAAGTCACTCTTCTCTAATACTTGGTGTAAAATGATATACATTCACTTCTGTCAACTGCTGAATGTGAAGTAATAACTGCAATACCTTGTCAAAAAAAGGAAGTATTTTGGAAAGTGACGACCCATCTTCAACGTAAGAGTAAGAAGAAAAGATGATAGGGTAGTTTAAAGCATAAGTTGAGTTCTGACTGTTACATTCAACCAAAAGAGCATTAATAAGTCATCGGAGGCTAATTAATGGCAGTAAAGATCTAAATTAATAATGCTTGGAACATCTTAGATTTTTAGAATGCAACGCAAAGTAAACTCCTGCATAATTTGAATAAAATTAAACGACTTTCGAATTGCAAGAAACATTATAGTTATTGAGAAAACTTTTTCTTAATTTGACATTTAATAATATAAACGTGTAAATATAAAGCGGGCATCATATCCGATTAGGAACGTGGCCCCATCAATCGCGAGCCAATGTAAGGCGTGAATTACTCGGGTACGCGCCGTTCCCTGCCTCGCACGTCGGCGCGCCGCGCCGAGCCACGTGGCTATTTTTGGTGGTCGGGCGCGGGGCGGCGCGGGGCGGCGCGGGCCTCCGTCGTCGAGCGGGGGGTGCGGCCGCGCAGGCGCGTCTTGCTTTCCTCTCCGCGCGGCCGGGCGGAACCGGCGTGCAACCCCTCCGCGCTGCGCGCTGCCGACCCGTACCTCGTACACGAGGAATGCGCTGGCATTTCAATTAATCCCACGAATCAAAAGAGCCGAGCGCAGGCGCTTTAGTGCCGCCCTCTCCCCGCGCCGCGCGGCCCCCTCGGCCCCGCCCCGCCCCGGCCCGAGATGAGCCCCCATCTTACTATCTGTAGCCGAGGGCCAGACAATGCGGCTCTCCTCTTCCGCCTTGCCTTCCCCGTCGCTGCTCTCCTCTGCCGCTCGTCTCCGTCCCTCCTCTTTCGGGCTCCTGTGTGTCGATACTCCGCGTTCTAATAAATATCCACGCTTGTTTTATAACTGTTGAAACGTATTAATGCCACGCCGTGAAGCGAGGGAGCGGAGGGTCGGGAGGTGGAGGGGCGGCCGGCGGAAGGGGCGGCTGTTCAATGAGCAATATTGGCTTAATAGCGCGACGGCGCGGGGCGGGGGCGGGGCGAGGCGTGGTGGGCGTGTGGCGTGCGGCGTTGGCGCGCGTGACAGTTGCGCCGAGGCGCAGACGGAGGGTGGAGGACGCAGCGGCCGGCAGCGCGGGTCGCAGGCGGCGGGGAAAGGCCTGCGTTTTGCGGACGTTCCAGGGGTGTGAAGTGAGAGAATGGGGAGGGGGGGCGAGGGAGCGGGGCTGAAAGTAACGGACGGACGTCGCGGTGGTTGGGGGGTGGCGGGGAGACAGGGGGGTGGAGGAGTGGTAATGGCGGCAGCGGAAGGG